TTATTAAAAATCTGCAGCAGTTTTGTTTTGGCTGTTGTCCCTAGGTTCTTGATCATTTCGTTGATTATTCCATCAATTCCAGGTGACTTTCCCAGTTTCAGCTTCAATATTGCTGACCATTATTTGCTAAACGTAAGTGGTGCTTCCATTATCACGGTAATTATATCATTGTGTCTTGAGTGTTGTCATTTCTCTCAAATCTTTCACAGTTTCTGTGAACTGACATCAATGTTGCTGTCTTCAGCAAATAAATCTGCAAAGTGATCAGCCGCCTGATTTTTTTTGTTAGGATGGCTCCTTCTGAATATATTGTTGTATTTGCCTTTATCCCTGTACTCCCGTCATTAATTTGTTTTACCAGCCTCCACATCTTCCCTGTGTCTCTTTCAAAGTTTAGAGACTTTGTTTTTTCTTGCCAGTATGCGCTTCTAGCCTACAGCTTGGCTCTTTGAAATTTGGCCTTTGCATGTTGGCATTTGTTGAACAGCTCCTGACAAGGTTTGATTTCGGCTTTCCTTCTTTTGGTTTCTATATCATTGTGCAATTGTTCTAGGTCTCAATTCCAGTATGGTTTATATTGCTTACCTGCGCCTCTTGGTATTGTTTCCAGGGCTGCCTGCAATATACATTTGCTGAACTCTTTTACTACTTTGTCTTCATTGTTATCTGTTTTTATGTTTTTAACCAGATCATTGTTATCTGTTTTTATGTTTTAAACCAGAACACTTTTAAGGTGCCGAGACAATTTCCAGTCTGCCTTCTTGTAATTCTATCTTGGTAGAGTGCTGCTCTTTCTTACAGACTGGTTTTCTATCGTTAGAAAGACTGGGCGGTGATCACTGCCTTCTAGTTGTTTCCCAACAGTTCTAGTAATATCCCATTCCATGTCTGGTGAATGAAAGGCGAGGTCTGGTGTCGAGGTGGTATGCCATGCTCTTGAGTAGAAGGTTGGTGGGTCAGCTGGCTTATTTATGAGGATGAATCTGTTTTCATCATGCCAATCCTCCAGTTTCTCTCCCCTCTGATCCATGTGATCGTAGCCCCAGCTTTCTGAGTGACTGTTGAAATCTCTACACACAATCATTCTTTTATTTGCTACTACTTATCCAGTACCTGTCTTTCAGGTCAGATCGGTAACATTGGTAGCCTTTGATCTTAAAGGCCATGTCTTGTTTGAGGTAGGTCTCCTGAAGGCAGCACTTATGTATCTGTTCTTTATTCAAAGTGTTTTCTAGTTCTGATATGTTACTTTTAACTCCCTCCGTGTTCCAATGCATGATTTTGAGATTAGATCTATTCACAGATATAGGTATATTTCCTATAGCGTTTGTGCGTGGCATCCTGATTTTTACAGTGCGCCTACTGGCTGGTTGCCTCCGACTTCAACACCTTATTTTAAGTTATTCTGGTATGCTAGATCAACATACTGACATATGGGACTGAACTGTCCACCCTGATATGTGTTTGCGCCTGTAAATAGGACTTTGGCATCATAGGCATTGTTTTCGCATTAACGTTATTAACGCCGATATAGCATTGTTGCTACGTTGACCATTATGATGCGTCTAATGCGGTTTGACGACCTTGACCATGAACTTACATCAAAATGAAGGCAGTCATGCCCGGCTCTCTAGCGAAGTTGGTTAAACCTGACTTTCGCGGCGGCCGGGTGACGAACTCCTTGTGGTCCGGGTTCACTCCCGGGGGTAGGCAGAAAAGCCACATTTCTCCCAGATTAACGGTACCTATAATGGAATCAAGGCAGAAGGGTTGCGATATCCATAATACCGAGCCAAAGGGTTTACAACTCATGGTTTCTGGATTTGTTTAAAAAAAAAAAAAAAAGGCAGTCAAAAACACACAGTCCTGATGCAGTTCATAAACACTTCTGCAATCTTCTGGCAGTCATTATTTGGTCACTAATGCAGCTAAGTATAGGATTTTTGTGAACAAATCCAGATGTGAAAATTCCAGCTACCATTTTTTGGAAAGTTTTATCAACAAAGTGTACAACCACATCTTAAACACGGATCAACTGCATGGAGTTCAGCATCAGAAACCACACTACAAAAGTTAGACATGGTGCAGAATCAAGCGCTCAGAGTCATCACAGGCCGGATGAAATCAACACCTATAGCTGTGATGGAAAAGATGGCGATGACTCAAACACTGACAGAACAAAGAGACAATAAGATACTAATACAAGCAGAATAGTATCTTAGCATGCCTGAACCATCTGTGAAAGAAAGATTTCAAAATCTAGCAATGGTTCAACTAAAAAGAATCAGTTTCCTCCACCAGGCCCAACGACTCTGCAGGCAAACCAATGATCTGTCTGCTACTGATAGCCCCTTAAAAGCTATTCCAGATCAGACCCCTTAGAAAGAGGATTATAAGTTTTCAGCACACACCCAGACAGAAGTGAAAGGATTATTTGACAAGGAAGAAAAAAAATTGTGTGCAACATAAAACAGATCTACTTGATGACGAATATCCACAAAATCTTTGGGTTCCTGTCTATACGGATGGATGAGCACAAAAAGCAAGCAGAAATGGAGAAGCAGGAGTGTATATTGAGCATCCAAATAATAATGGATGTACGCCAAAATAACTTCAGGAAAGCTCTGTCACAACTATGATGCAGAAGTTCAAGCCATCAAAATAGCAGCAGATAAACTGCTAAATATACGTCATATTTCACAACCTGTGGTATTTCTGACAAATGCAAGAACGGTGCTTCAGGTATTCCAAACCGGAAAACTACCTGGTATACGAACACTACACCCCAAACTAGGCAGCCGATGTAAGGTTACTATGCAGTGGATACCATCCCACTGTAGAGTTTCTGGAAATGAAAGAGTTTATAAACTAGCTAATGAAAGTGGATATGAAGAACAACCTAGCGTACCAGTCTTATATCAGCGAAAGAAGAGAATAATCAAATCAATCAGAAAGCCACCAAAACGGGCACAAGACGATTACCATTTTATGGACATACCAGAGCAAGTTATTATTCTACGCCTTAGAACAGGACACAGTCGACTTCGCAGCCACATGTACACAAAATTAAAAATCAGTGAATCGGCCATGTGCACATGTGGATTGGCACCTGAGACAACAGTTCATGTCCTCTAAGACTATCCCAAATACAACATATTAAGACACAACTTTTGGCCAAGAGAAACATCTGTGCAGGTCAAACTTTACAGGTCGCTGAGTGAATTACAAAAGACGGTGAAGTTCACACTAGAGACAACACTGCAGATATAGATAATCTATTTCAAGCAAACAAAATAAGAAGAAGAAGAGGAACAGTCAATGCTGAGAAGATGCACTTTATATGATAAGATTAACCCTTTCACCTAGGGAAGCCAAAAAACTAAAACTTTTGGTGGGGTCAGATTTCACATAAATGTCACTTTTCTGGCTTGTCTAAAGTGACCAGTTAAGGAGACTCATAGCTACTGGCTGTTTTCCTGCCTCCACAAATGTTTAGGAGGTCAGAATATATTAACTAACAGTAGCATTTAGATGTGTTTTTCTTTGAGCTAAATGGCTTTTCTAAAGCCAGGCTGGTGTCAGTTAACCATAAGCCTCAGTAATAGAGGTCATGAGTCAGCCAAACATGGGCTTTTTAGGCCCCAGTGATTACTTGATTTAATGCCTCATCCTGTATGTGTATTGATTATTCCTCTCATTTATTTCAACAACAACAAAACAATTTACAATACAGAAAATACATTTTAAACAAATTTATTAGTGACCTTGTAAATTTTTTTTCTTCTGTAAAAAATGTTTGCCCAGAATTAACGAGGTCATGGTCTATTTTGTTTGGTTCTCTCTGGGCGAAAGGATGAAGGCAACTCCTATTATTATGGCTAGTAGGTCATTAAGAACCCAAAGAAACTAGACTAAAACATTCTGAAATGACCTCTGACACAAATAATTTTGGAGAAATCACTTCAACCTCCTCTGTTATTAGGCATCCTTGACAAAGCTTGGGTGCAAGTGACTTAGAGGATCTTGAACGCCACCTTGAGATAACTGGCTGGTGTGCGTTGCTGACGAAAGTCTCTGAGCAAAAACATTGGCCCACATCCCAGAGGAAGTGGGACACACTCAGAAGGAGAAGAAAATGTAGTGGTTGAGAAAATGTCATTAAAAACAGAGGAAGGAAAGATGTTTCTAGTTCTTTGATCAATGAAATGTGTGGGAAATGAAGTGAGACACAGTTTTGTAGCATACACCACCCTTAAAAAGATACACCAGAAATGCAGTTTTTAATTACAGTGTCACATCCCACTCCATAAATATTTTAAATGCAGACCTAACAAAATTATTTTAAAAAATCACTGGATATGTCTTAGTCTCAGTCAGAGTTGAACGGTGTTAAGGGATAGAAAGATGTAAACAAGAAAAACCTCACAAGGAAAGTTTCTTGATGTTTTTATGGTAAAAGGGAAAGTCAGTAATTAAGTCACACATGGTTGTTTAAAATAAAAAAATAAAAATGATAACTTGAAAACCAATTAATTTTGCACATACACTGTCCCTTTATTTTTCAACATAATTTCCACCAACATTGATGCACTTGTCCCTTTAGTTTTTTTTTCCAGTCCTCCCAAACCTGCTGCACAGAACTGCAAGCTCTGTTTTTGAATGAGAAAAATCATAAGTACGATTAGAAATGACGAGAAAGAGTAAATAATGAACACTTGTATTAAATGAAATAGTTTAGGCTGTGACTGAAGTTCTGCAAAAGACCTGCTGCTAAATGAAGAGAGTGCAATAAATCCTCAGAGCGAAGTGACTGCCAATACCTGACACCCGAAATTGTCATCTTTTTAGCCAGGATCAAATTTACAGTTTTAGACCAAGAACTCTATACTTCAGTGCAGTACTCTGAAGTGTATCTTATTGGTTGTACAATTTATTTTCATGTAATAAAATGTAATTGCCATGTTTTCACATTTAAGTATTGTGGAGGGGTTTTATTTCAGGTTTGATTGGCATTGAGGACCTTAGACGTAAAGTGGAGGCATCACGAGGACGAAATTCACAAGTCATTTGCATGTAAAGATTTATCAGTCTTTTTGTGAGATATACCCAGTTGCATTCCTGGTTATTATTTATGAATTTAGCTCAGTTTGAACATTGAAAAAAATATAAATAATGATAATTACAAAGCAAAAAAAAAAAAGGCTCTTCAAGGTACAACATTAAAACAAATGTGAGGCAAACTGATGTGTTGAAGTACTCGGATACTCTGATATCAGCAGATGGAAGATGTATTTAAGAAGTGCAATGTAAATTATCAAGCAGAAGCGTCATTTCACATGATGAAGAATATTCTTATCAATCTGTCTGAGGTGAGAGAGTTCTAAAGAGCTATTTAGATGTATGGAATTGAATCATGGACAGTCAGCACATTAGTGAAAAAACAGTTTGGAACTACATGGATGTGGTTTTAAAGACAAATGATGAAAACAACATTAACACATAATGAAAAAGTCTTGAAAGAAGTTAACTCATGAAGAGAACTGATGACATGTGTCAAAAGAGTCTACATTCTTTGATCATGTCAGGAAGTTAAAATTGGATAGAGAGAAGGGCAGTGGGAGACCAAGAGAAAAGATGTTGGACAGTTTTGCATCATTGCAGGGAAGAGCCATTTTATGTCACATAGGGCTCACAGTCTATTCCTCCATTCCATTCTATCCTGTGTAATCAGTTCAATATTAATCCCTTTATTTCACATTTTAATGCCTGTTTAGTGATTCTCTACTGGTTTCTTCTCAGGATTTGTCCAATGTAGCGCCATCTTCTCTTTCTTATAACTGTTGATACTAGTGGTTGCCCAGACATTTGTCTTATTTCTTCACTCCTTTTAAATTCATCCCATTCTATTTTCACTATTTTCCTCAGACATTAGTTTTAAATGCATTTAAATTTTGTTCCATGTCTTTAGTGGTTCTCCAAATTTCACTTGCATATGTTAGAATGAAATAACATTAAAATTGAAAATACTTAACTTGGTTTTAAAACTGTACAATTTAGATTTCAGGTACATGTCGCGATAAGAGACGCAACAATGTGAGTGACCTCCCTTCCCATTGATGCCTCGGTTTCAAGCGTAGTGAGTCGTATTTTACTCCTTGTCAATGGCCGGCAAGATCACGTCTTCTATGCTGTGACTGCTTTAAAAGGTCCCAAAACTGGGCCTAACCCCAACCTCCCTACTCCACTGCCTCAGCCTGTGTCTCACGACTGTATGCAGCCTCTATTATACGCTGCATACAGTCGTGCCACCTAGGATGCAACCCTGCAATATAGTTGAGGCCCTACACCAGATCGAGGCATCTATGGAAAGGGAGGTCACTCTCATTGTTGGGTCTCTTAACGTGACGAACTAGATTTCCATATTTTGTTCAGGTTATTAAAAGCTGCTGGTGCCTTGCCAGTGTGTGTCATAATTTTGTTCTTTGCATTTCCTTCACTGTCAAAATTAGTACATTAGTTAGTAAATTCATCTGTTACTTTAATTACTTTGTCTCTATTGGTAATCTGCTTGATCTGTTGTTGGCGTGTTTAGTATATTTGTCTTTTCATAAATTATTTATAGTTGAACCCTTGATGCTATATTTGCTAAATCATCTGTTTTCCTTTGCCTATCATTGCTGTTTTTACTTAGCAGAACATTATCATCCACAAAATCAAGGTCTTCCAACTGTGTTCTCCACAATGCTGATATTTTCAACACAACATTTTTTCTGTCACCCAGTTTATGGTTATACCAAATAACAGAGGAGATCAAATGCTAAAGAACTATTAGTATCTGTTTTATTCCACATTCAGTCTTTTATAGAATGCACAATCCGTATTCTTGTAGAGATGGACCAGTATTCTTGTAGATAAAGGAACAGTATTCTTGTAGAAATGGAACAGTAATCTTATAGAGATGGAGCAGTATTCTTGTAGGGCAGGGGGGCACTTAATTCCCTGCACATTTTCTAGGCCGGGGCTGGAGAACCCAGATCCCTTCCCCTTCTTATAATGAGTTTGGGGTGGTGGAATCAGGTACCTCCTAAAATGTTATGAAAGGTTCAAGGTGCCAAAGGTTTCAGTGCCTTTGATCACAACATCAGATCATCATCTATTTTATGATGGTTTAATCATTCCTTCTGAAAAAAGTTAGCCTTCGTCTGTTTCTTATTACAAATGTAAGTTATGAACATACTCTCAACACCTGCTACACCACTCTACATACCTGGGTATTTTTCCACAGCAAATGATTTCAGCTGCATAATCAGATGCCTGACAGTCTATTGTTTTAGAGTGTAAAAATTCTCTCTCATCATCACTTGCTTCAACTTCACTAACTGTTGCATGCACTCTTATGCATTTCTCTTTATGTTATGCCATTTTGGCTCTTCATTTGGTTGTCTAAGTTTAAAAGAAGTACACTGGATCATTGTGTTTTTTAACTGTGGCAAAGTACACATACACAGTTAAGACCGACTGGTCAGGTAATAGAGGTACAATCAGTTGTGTGTCATAGTCCAGGTGGTCAGGATACAACTTACAGAGTTGGTCAGAGATTAAAGGTGCTCTTCCACTGAGAGTATGTGGTGACCATCCGATCAGTGAAAATTAGATCAACACCTGAAGGTTGTTAATGTAAGGAGGTGGTTATCTCTGGAGGTTCTACTGTATATATAGTATGTATTAACCATGCCAAAGTCACCTTTCACTGTTTTTAGAAAGAGACTAGTTATTTTTGTTTGAAATTTGAATAGTCTATAGACTGCTTCAGTCTCCTCCTTTCACAAAGGAAGACTGTGTTATCATTTGCTTCTTTATTTTTACAATAGAAATGTAGGAGCTAATGTCCCAAGCCTCACAATTAATAAAATTAACATCAAAAGAGAAAGCAAACAGAGGTACCCGGGTATCATTTTCGATAGAAGCCTGTCCTTTAGGGATCATGTGGAAGCAGTTGCAGTGAAATGCAAAAATGGACTCAGTGCTCTCAAGATTATAGCAGCTATGGACATGGAGCGAAAAATGCTGTTCACAGTGTTCCAGCATATGATCCTGTCAGTGATAGATTATGGACTTGGAATGCTTACTATATCAGAGAGTCAGCTGATGAAACTTGAACGCGTTCAGAATGAAGCCATGCAGGTAATTCTGGGATGACCAAGAGATACCCCGGTAGTAAGTATGTGATATATACTTGCACTGCCTACTATTGCAGATAGGCTCAAAGTTCTGCAAGCAAAGTCATATTTCAGAGTAGCTGCAGACAAGAAGCACCTCCTGCATGAAGCCCTGGATAGAGGTAAGGGTCACAGACTGAAACAAGGTAGGTCTTGGATGGTGCAAGCAGAAGACACACTTGGACATGTTTGCAGGCTTGATAAATTTTGGCAAGGTGAGGAGTGGGTCAAGGTGTCCAAAAGTTTCAGACTTATATAAGGATCTTATCACTTTGTGTCATGAGTGCAGGGACTGGCCAGCCAGGAAGCTTCTTTAAATATGATGGCAGAATAGACGGAGAGAGATTGAAACAAGAATCTAACAAGCCAACAATGTCACATATCAGCGCACCTAAATTTTAAAACACCCGGCTATCCCAACAGAGATAAAAAGACAAATTATGAATACAATGTTCATACCAATGTTGTGCTATCAATGTCACACTTGGACATTGACTAAATAACATGAAAGAAGACTTACCACTTATGAAATGAGATGTTTGAAAAAGGTCATGAACAAAACTATAGAGAAAATTGTGTGAGTGGGAAGAAATTATAAGAACTATTGAACAACACCCCTCATTAAATTCATTGTAAAACGAAGACTGCAGTGGTTTGGCCATTTAATGGGAATGAATTCGATGATGCCAGCAATGAGAGCATACAGCTTGAAAGTAGAAACACCAAGAAGTAGTGGACAACCAAGAAGAAGATGGATTAAAGGAGTCACTGATGTCTTGCAACTCCACAGCAATGCAGAATGCCAGGCAGCCGAGCGTGCCCAAGCTAGGAAACCGATCATATGTTAACCTGCAGTGCCTAGTGGCACAAAGCAGAAAATGGACATTAGAAAGAATGACAGATGTGTTACATATTTAAAGAATACTTCAAATAAAGGTTATTCCATTAAATACAGAAAAGGTCATTTCTCGTGGTTATTACTGTATTTATCTGATACACAGTAAAGACTGACTATAAATTATTTCTTAGTTTCCTGATTTCTAAGATATCCAACATTATTTTTCATACTTGCAAGAAGCTTTGTTTCTCTTGTTTCAACCTAACTTTATGTTTGGACTGATCTGATTATGTGTGGCCACTAAATATAGAGATGATGTACACTGTTTTGTTAATTCAAACATGATCTCACAAAAACACAAGTATAGTATAAATGCATGGTCTTTTTATTCAGAAATATTAATTCTTATTGCAGTGATGACTTGATGAGGGCTATCAGAAAATTAAAGATCCTTGGAAACGGTTTCTCTATTCATAAAGTGGGCAAAAGTTTCCTTGTACAATCTGTTCCAGGTGAACTTTCTTTGGACCACACTGTAGTACTACAGCAGGCGCAGGTATGATTAGCTTCTTTTTTTTTAAGCATAATAATGATATTAGACTAATTTGGAGCAAATTTATTTTAGTGCTTTGCTTATATGTATTATGTGGTCGGTGCAGGATCTATTCATTCCTTATCCGTTTGTCAGTGACGGCTGAAATCTCATAAGAAAGATCCTGTTTAATGTTTTCCTACCAACTGACATAATAATATTCCACTATATTGTTTAAACCTCTTTCAGATGCCTTTCCTTTGACAGCATCACAAAATATTTTTCTTTCTGGTGTTTTTTTTTCCTCCCAGACATTGCTTAATAATTTTGCAGAAAGCAGTTGTCATTTTTATGTTGGCTTTAAAAGCTTTTACGGGAATACCACTTGGACAAAGAGCGTTCCCATTCTTCTTATCAGCTTTGGCTTTGCTATTGTTAAAGTCTGCATGTCTCCTATTCATTCTGTCTTCAGATGATGAGTTTTTCTCTGCTTTATTTTCCCCCAAAAATGATGATTCTCACTCCAGATGCATTTAACCGGCTGCCAGTAATCTGTCTCTAGCACTGCCTTCATCTACTAGCTTTTGCAGGGCCTGGTACACAGTTGAGACTGACCATAAATTATTTATTAACTTGGCGATTTCTTAGATATCCGGCATAATTTTTCTTACTTGCAAGAGTCACGTTAAAACTATGTGTGTGGGGGAAGGCAACAGACAATGTTGAACTGGTCACAACAGACTTAAAAAACTAAGTGTACATACTTCCAAGATTGGGACATAACTTTTCCCATGTGGTCAAGCACAATAGAATAGTGAATATGTGCAGCAGGCATGCTTTCTACATGCAGTAGAGAGATTCCAGGTCTGACCACTTAGCATTCCAGTGGAAAACAAGCTATATGGATCAGTGGAGGACTACAACGTTTATAGAGGCCTGTGACCTTTTCATCAGAAAACCACAAACTGGGAGAACAAAGAGAAGCAGAAAATTTCATACACAAATGTTTTGAATCCATTTCCATTTTCACGTATGACAATAAATCCATATTATTATGTAATCTCTGCCTGCTCATAATGTTTGAAAATGGTCATAACTGAGTTTTAAAAAAAGTTATGGGGGGGGGGGGGGGGGGGGGGGGTTAAAACAAATATTATTAAAGTAGTGTACGAATGTTCATCGTGTGCAATATAAACAAATAATGATTTGAGTGATTGGTTTGCAGTTGAAACCGGAATGAAACAGTAATGCATTGCTTTCTTTCCTTAAATTTGACATAACCATTGATTGGACGATTAAAAGATGTGTTGCAAACACCCGCATTGACTGCATGGAGAACACACAGTTATAACATCTCCATTATGCTGATGATATTATTCTGCTATGTAAAAACAACAATGACATGCACAGAAAAACAGATGATTTAGGAAATATTGCACCAAAAGTTGAACTACAAATAAGTTTTGAAAAGACAAAGGTATTGAAGACACCAGTAACAGATCAAGCAGACGTAACCCTATGGACAACAGGAATTAAAGTAATAAATCAATTTACTTATTTAGGGAGTAATTTTGATAGTCAAGGATATAAAAGGATATAAATTATGACAGTCATTGGCAAGGCAACAGCAGTTTTTAAAAGATTGAACAAAAAATGGAATTCTAAACTTTGTAGTTTTAAACCAAGATTACTTACCTCATCTGCTTTGGGGTGTAGAGACTTGCCAGAGAGATCTCCAGGCTTCTCTGTCAGCAGTTTACTTTCTGAATTTGTTCCATTCCAGTCCTCTGTCAGTCAAGGACTGTTGGATGTTGTCTCTCCAGTGGACCCTGGGTCACCCGGGAGGTCTGGTTCCTTGGTTCTTAGCGTCCCATGCCTGCCATAGTGACAGATTTTCTCCCATTCTGCATAAATGTCCAAACCATCCTGACTAATCCACTTGAGTTTGTAAGGCCTAAGTTTCAAAATGTTGACATATTGTCTGATTGCGAACTTTGTCCCTTCTTGTCATTTCCACCACCTTTCTCAGATAACTCATTTCTGAGGCCTGAAGCGTGTTTCTATAAGCTGATGTCATTGCCCATGACTCACACCTGTAGGTTAAAACTGGCACATTGGTAGAGCGGTAAACAGCCATTTTTGTCTTCTCTTTTGCTAAGTAACCCTCGGTTTATCACCTGAAAAAAATCTTCCAGCAGCTGCTTTTCATGTAGCCAGCTCTGTCCAGTATATTTGAACTGGTTGACCTGCTCCAGTGCAAACTGTACCGTCATGATCTGGTTCTTCTCCTCTCTTGAGATCACCATGATTTTGGTTTTTGAGATACTAATGGTCATCCCTCTCTTTTCAAGCTCTTCCTTCCAGACATGTAAGTTGTATTGGAGATGTGCCTCTGATTTAGCTTCAGGGCCACATCATCTGCAGATGCCAACTGTGATATACAAATTGGTTTCATCTACCAGTACCCTACTGAATACTTCTTTGTCTTCTCCTTACAGGTCTTGATGACATGCATCATAAGAATGAAGGAGTAATTTGAGATAATATCACCTTGTCTAACACTGCTAGTGGTCTTAAATTCTTCTGACTTTGTGTCTGCTGTTCTTACATAATTTCTGCAGCTTTTGTAGAAACTGTATTGAACTGATCAGGGGTGCTGGAATGTTTTTTTCTGCCAAACAGTCACAGAGCTTGCACAGGGAACCTGTCAAATGCCTTTTTTCAGATCCAAAACACATGGGTGCATTTCACTCTTATATTCAAGGGCTTTTTCACTCATCTGTCTGTGTGTAAAGATAAGGTATTGAGTACTTTGGTTTGCTCTGAAGCCGCATTGTGCCTAATCCAGCTGTGTTTCTGTCAGACTTCTCAGTCTCTGTTTGAGAATTCTAGAGTAACTTTTACCAGAAACGCTGCCTCTCTCGTTTCCACATTGACAGTTATCACCTTTTTTTAATACAGGTCTGTTGGTATAGTTTTACTACACCAGGCTACCTTGAAAACTTCCAAGAGAAGTTGGTCACCTGCAACTCCCATATATTGACCATATCTGGTGTTATACCATCATATCCTGCTGCTTTCCCCAGCTTAAATCTTCTCAATAGCTTCATTCAGTTCTTCCATCCTGATGTTATCATCCTTCTCTGCAGTGAGGTCCGTTACTCTGGGACATGACTTTCCTCAACACCGAGGAGCTCTGAGAAGTATTCTTTCCATCTGTCCATGATGTCATTTGTGGTTGTAAGCAAAGCCCCTTCCTTGTCTTTTATCACTTTCAGTAGGTTCGCTTTCTCCTTCCTCATGTTTTAAGTTTTTTTTAAACAAAAGTGTTTGATTTTCTCTTGCATTCTTTTCCAACTTGTCTCTGAATTTATCCCATGATTTTTGTTTTGTTTTGCATTAAGCACTATATTTTTGGTCTCTGTTCTGAGTGTTAGATATTGTTTGTATTTCTCTGTTTCTTCAGCTGTGTTCCTAGCTGCCATGTATTGCTTCCACGCCTTTTTCTTTTCTCCTGTTTTCAGTATGACTTCTTCCATCCACTAAGGTGTCCTATGTCCATTCCTTCCACTTGGAACTTTGCCACATGCTTCTTCTGCAGCTGCTGGGAGGATATTCTTGAATCTGCAGCAGAGGGTTTCAGTGTCCTCTGATGGTTCTTCTTCATTTCCTATCGCTTTCATTCATTATAAGCTCCTGGTATCTAGCCCTAATCTCTGTTTCTCTTAGCTTGTATGCCTTAATCCTCATCCCTTCTCGGTTGCTTGGTTTCTTGAATGGTTGTTGGTGTTGCCTTGGTGGAGCAGTTCTTTCTTTCTCTTTATTATGACCAGATAGTGGTCCCTTCTGGTCTCTGGTCCTCTCATGACTCTGGCATCTCTGAACTTTTCCTTACTATGGCATAGTCGATGATGGATTTCTCATTCATTGAAAGTTTAAATCTTGATTATACATGTGTACGTTTGTGGGAGAATTTTGTGTTTGTAATTACAAGAAGGTTCTATTCCCTGCATGATCTGAGTCGCTTGCCATTGTCATTCAGAAAATTTTCACCATATCTCTTGGTCCCTCCACCCCATCTAGAGTGATCATTTCCTGCTCTGGCATTTAGATCTCTGAGGACAATAATTTCATTGTGACAATCATCTATGGTCTTTTGGAGCAGTTCAAAAAATTCTTCTTTGACATCTATTCGCTTGTCTTCATTTGGTCCATACACAGTGACAGTATTGACAATGTTATCTTCTTCTTTCAGATCTAGCATCATAATTCGCTCCGAGTTGAATTTCCATGCCTTGATGTTACTAATTAATTTCTGGCCACAATACAACCATCACCCCATTTGGCTGTCTCCTTTGTAGAGCAGCAGACTTCCAAGCGAAGGTTGAACCACTAAAGATATGGAACAAAAGTTAAATGCATTTCAGAACAAATACCTGGGGAGAATCTTGAGCATAAATTAGGAAGAATTGAAGAGGGGTAAAGAAATAAGAGAAATTTTGAGCACCAACTGGTAACGACAGTTCTAAGACAAAGAAGATTGTGCTATATTGTGCCCATCCTGATTGTAAAAAAAAAAAAAAAAAAAGAATGAGCAGAGAATCACCAAACAAGCATTAACATGGGAAATAAAGGGATTGAGGAAGTAAGTTAGTTAGTTGGGTTATCATCATTGCACTCTAGACAAGTCCATAAGTGCTCAGATCCTTCCCTCAGTATGAACCCCAGCGTCCAGTGGCTAAAAGTACCAGTTCTATGTTGATTAACAAGTTCTCTGATGTGCCTCGCGTGCATCTCGTTGTTTGCTATGCCAATCTTAATACCCAAGTCTAACATTCTAGCGAGTGATGTGGATTCACTGCCCCCAATGTCCTCCACACTTCCCATTTCTCAGAGGGTATTAATTATATCAGCATGATCAATAGGTTGACTGTTGGTAGTAATAGCTGATCCAGCCAACCTATCAGCTCTTTCATTTCCATTGATGCCTGCATCCACTGGAACGAAAATAAATGTGACTTTACGCTCAGTGGACTTATGTAGTTATTGAAGCCACGGCCTTCGCACAAAACCTGCCTGAACTCTCTTTATTAAACTCATTGAATCACTGAGTACACATGCGCGCAGGTATAGTTTTGTGTTTCAAGCCACGTGAACGCTTGCGTTACTGCCATCCCCTCCATCGTCATGCTGCTAGTTGTCATGGAAAAGGCTTCTTTGACTGTTCTGCCCACTGAGGGTGCTGTGAACACCCATGCGTTTCTTTGTTGGTGTTTAACAGATCCGTCTGTGTAGATCAGTACATCTCCCTCATTTGAATTTTCACTAATGAGAACATTGACTTCTGCATTAACAGCGATGAGATTCTGCTCCCTGCATCACTTGTCGAGTGTAGCAGTACAGGAAAATGTACAAACACATAAGGCACAAGTATCTACTCTGTACCAGGGGTGATGTCAGTTTGGCTGCATATTTGCTTGATAACATCTTCTGCCCGACCTAGCCATGATTTATCCCCGTTCAGCCTGTCACCCTTTTCACTGAAAAGCACTTGATGTGGTGGGTGTTTCTTATCAGTGCATATTTTAAGGTATGCCCGAGCTCTCCAGATCCTGATCCTTTGATTCATGTTTGGAAAGTCAAGTAGATAACTCATTGGTACACTGGAAGTGTCTCTTCTACATCCCAAAATAATGTGCATGGCTTCATTTTACACCTGTTCAACATTGAGGAAGTGAGGACGTTCAGGAGTGTAATGATGCTACATTGACAATAAACGTGTGAAATTTCTAACACGTGGAGTGATCCATAACCCAGTATTCACTCACCGTGTTTCTACAAATTTTTCCCAGGCAAGCTTGTCAGTTTGAGAATGAATAGAGTCTGGACTTCAGTTGTCCCGGATTTACATAATCACCCTCGACAGCATGTCCTGGTCTTACATAATACCCCAACACTTCAAACTCCATCATCCATAACACAAAATCACTCTCAGCTTACGGCTGCCGGTGTTTGTCTAAACTTTACGTCTGTCCACAACAACACTACGCCTAATGTACTGCCACAGTTAGGATGAGTCTCTAATGTAATTCATACTTAGAAATTACAATGTATTCCCACTTCAGACGAGATCCCAATGTAATGAATGTACTGTGTCTCCTCCACACTTGATCTTTCTAGTGCAGATTCAACACTGACTCTGTTGTCTAGATGGTAGGTCACAGTTCATTCTAACCAGAAGGCACTTTTCTCCACGGCCACACAACTTCAAATGACGGTCGACAACGGCTGACACATTTCACAGGTTTATTGTCAATGTAGCACAAGACACGAATCAACAGATGAACTAACTTACGCCATTCGGGCAATCTCGCCTTGCTCAAGCATTGAGTCTCCAGACATGCTTCAGACGATGGACACTGGCATGTAAACGACTGGCTCAACAACCAAACCGTGTAACACAACGGCTGGCCTAAACGATCATTCAATAGCGCTGCCCGTCTTGTCGTTCAGCACTAACATTCATTCGACTCTGGTTCAGATCCACGTGCACTCTTCATTCTGGATTCACCTTCACAGATTGAGCTTCACATCCTTCCAATCTGGGGCCCAGTCACCGAATGACCACCTCATTTTCAATCCCCCAGATCTCGCATTCACACGTGACTCACTCTTGTCTTTTCACCATATCTCCGTGAAACCCATGCTATCAGGGACTTACCCAATTATGCCAGTCATCCCCTGATGTTATCCCTATTTATAGCATCATTACAAGGAGAAACCCTAAAACTCTTGTTGGTGGGAGAGGCCAAAGGTGCTGGACTGGATTTCATCCATGATACCAGAGAGATTGCACAAGATAAAACAGAATGAAAAAGTAGACTGTGAACTCTGTGTGACATATGATGACACAACAGGGCAATGGTGATGATGTTGGTTTTTTTTCTTTTTTTTCACTGTCCATTACTACATTATCCAGCATATGTTGCAATTTGCATTTTTAGCAATGAAAACTGTGTCATCTGCAAAATACAAATACATTATTATCTCAGACTTGTAACCCTTATCTGTATTTGATCTCTCTCCTGATTGTTTTGCTAACAAGAGAGAAATGTTGAAAAAAATAATCTACATCACAGCACTCGGGTCACTCCCATAAGCGCTCTGTTCTTATCTTCAGCAGCAAGCGAAGAGTTCCAGTTCCGATGGCACCAGTAACTGTCTGATTGTATATCCATCTCACCTTTCCCTTGAGTTGAGTTGAGTCAAGAATCGACATCACAACACTCAGGGCATTCCCATATGTGCTCTGGCCCCATCTTCAGCAGCCAGTGCAGAGTTCCTATACTAATGGTACCAGTTGTAGTCTGGTTATATGTCCATCTAGCTTTTCCCCCAAGCATAGTGAGCCAGCCAGACCCTCTAGTCACACCCACGTGCCTTATTCTTTCCAGGCCATCATAATCTAGTTTCTATTCTGACTTCGTTACTTGTTCCCAAAAGGCCTTGACCACATCTGCCTTGTCATGTATCAATTCTTCACCCAAAGATGCAGATTTAGCCAATCTACTACCTGTTTGTTCCCCCACCATGCGGGCATGACCTGGAGAAAAGATTCCAAGTATTCTCACTACCTGTGGCCTTTTAAGTGAAAATTTCCACTCTGCTTGAAGCAACCCTGTCTTCACCTTTTTCAGCATGCTTTCAGAGTCTGTTACAGCTATGACATGAATATGCATCCTGTTCTCTAGCCACCGAAAAAAGCTGCAGTGACTGCCTCCACCTCCATTCTCATGCTAGATGTTGTGATATCATATGCCAGGCTGTCCTGCACTAAAGATTTTTCACTGGCATTCGTTACTAACCCCCTGGCACTTCTCTTCCCTTTCAACACTGAACCATCTGTGTAGATAATCAGATCATCAGGATGAGAATTGTCATGAATCAGCTGGTGGGCTTCCACTTCCCTAGCCCCTCTAGCCACACTCTGCACTCCTGGTCTAATGTGATCATGACCCTACACAGGTCAGACATTTCCTCTGGTACTCTGACCTACTCCTTTCCTCGCCCAATGTTCTCCAACATGAATTTATTGTGTCTTCTGCTTGAGCCATCAATGATTTTTCCCTTTTCAGCCTCTGACCCTTAGCTGCATCCAAAGCTTTATACAGAGGGTGCACTTTGTCTGCAGCTACTCTGAGATATGACTTATCCTGCAGCATCTTTAGCCTATCTGCAACAGAAATCCTAATTGTTTTTATTTAACCTTTTTTCCCCATCTAGTTCTTTTTATAATTCTCAGAAATTGTCTTTTTTTTAATGAATATTGCCTTAAATTCTTTGATGCATTCACTTGCTCCTGAACTCTTAGGTAAAGCTATAAATACATATTTCAGTATATCACTAATTATCCACTCCTTGAAATGGGATTTAACACAAACGAGTATATATATATATATATATATATATATATATATATATATATATATATATATATATATATATATATATATATATATATATATATATATATATATATATATATATATATATATATGAGGTTGCAGAATCACAGGGAGACTGGGAGAGAATGCGCTGAACAGTTTTACACCATGACATGGAAGATCATCTTTATCACAATTGATTGAAAATACATGAGACAGAAGGTTGTGGATAGACAGGACTCTCAGCACCACACGGCATGGACTATAAGAAAGAGAGGTTGCGTTGTATTCCTGAGGTATTGTCATGAAATATTCCAGTCTTAAGTTTGAATTCAGATCAGGATTATAGAACAACAGGTCTTACTACCCACGAGATCAGCGGTTCTGAACCTATGGGTCGCGACTTTTTTGGGGGTCGAATGAAACAATTTAAAATCACATCGTGATTTCCCAATTCTGTTTTGTTGCTCAGTGTTCTTCCCCCCCCCCCCCCCCCCCTGTTTTTTCTCTCTCTTTGGTCTTTCATCATTCTACTATCCCTCTCTTCTCCTTTCTCCCTCCTTCCTCTCCCCTCTTTTTCTCTCAGTCAGTCGCCTTCCTCTCCCCTTCTCGCTGTTGCTTTGTCTGCCTGTCTTCATTTCTTCCTGAATCGGGCAAAATAGGTGCCGGAATCTGTTTTATTTTCCTCTTTGTTGCAATAACTTAGTTTCTGTAACTTTTAAAGCGGAATTACGGACAACTGACTAAAAACTGTGTCTTTGAAACGGAAAGGTGGTGCCCTCTTTGAAGCGACTGATTCAACGATAACCAGCATCGTCGGAGGAGACGAAATGTCTCAGCAGACATCTGTGAGCCTGTGCTCACTTTCACATAGGTCGCCAAAGACCATCGCTAAACAAATATTCATTGAAATTATGAAGTAGCGACGAAAATAATTGTATGGTAAGGAGTCACCACAAATTGAGGAACTATATAAAAGGCTTGTGGCATTAAGAAGGTTGAAACTCACTGCACTAGATGTTAGCCAGTCTCATGATGGATTTGAACCCAGGACCATAGAGCTACAGGAAAGTGCACTTGTGACTGCATGTTAGAACTGTTGTTATTAGTTAGGATATGTAGAAATAATGTGTTATTTAGCAAATTAAATTAAGTTTACATTTCATTCTAATGAAGGTATCTAAATTCCTGAAATACAATTTTCTTAATGTTTTGTTTAAGGAGCATGGTTTTATCAGCAAAAGCGACCTGATTCATATTTTGGGATGGAAAGAAGAGCGAGCTGCCAGGGCACTGGTGAGTTTTTTAAGGATTTGATTTGGCTTTTCCCTTCAGTATTCTTCTGATAGATAATAGATAATACTTGCACTTGATACTATTATTACTACTGAAGAAATCTGTAATCTAATAATCAAATAATTGAAAGTTTTCACTTTAAGCAGATGTTTCAGATTTGACAATTTAAGCCTGATGTCATTACTGTAAAATATATTTTATATCAGTTGTAAATAATTTTTATAAGCATTCTTTTTCTTTTTTTTCTCTTCCACTTTTTGCCTCAGCAGAGTGTCAGGGGGAGATGTAAACATTTCATTGATGAGCTCTGCCAAGAGCACTGTTAAAATTGATGTACATTTCTGTAAGGCTGTTCTTAATGCCATCACTCCATATTTTCTGAGGTCTTCCGCTCACTCTATACCCGTTGTAACATTTCAGTGTCTCTTGCTGTGGAAGATAGTACCAAGGCATTCTTGTTAGGTATCCAAACCACTTCATTTGCTGTTCTTTGATGACCTGTAAGACTGACTTTAAACCCAGCGTTCGTCTCATTTCGTGATTTCTTATTCTGTTTTTCCTTGAAACTCCTGCAGCTCTTCTAAGGCATTTCATCTTTGTTGTCACAATTTTATGTTCATTAAAGGATTAAGTGTCCACGTTTAGCACTGATAACATAGTGTTGGCCAAAAAATTAGTTCTGATAAGATTCACTTTAGTACTCCGTGGTATCTGCTTGTGTGTCAACATTTATAAGCATTATCCCACACACAAAAATAATATTTTTGTATACTAGTGCAAGTATGAAACGTATCTTTTTGCTGTTAAATGGAGAAAAAAAAACTTGATTTGTTGTTAATTAGCATATTTTAGATCTTTAGAGAATTTAGTACACAGAGCTTTTTTACCACACATGTACTTTCTCTTGACCTGTGAAAAGTATGTAGTATTAATAACAGTCCCAATCAGTATTTGATATGTTTGACAGGTATTTGACTAATGGCTATTAAAAAAATTCCAGCTTGAAGCTTTTAATGATACTACTATTTTATTGTGTGTCAGAAAACACATCTTAGGCTGATCTGAAGAGTGTTAAAAAGCTCAAAAGTTAGTATTTTTATGTGCTGTTATGTGCTTGTTTGAAAAGACTGTTGCTTCTGAATAATCTTCTTCATGCCCATCAAAATGGTTTACAGCTTTAGAAAGAGCAGGATAGAGGGCATAACTCATCAAATGAACATACATGATCAAATTATTGTTGGGTATACATGATTTAATCAACGCCTGCAACATTTGTGGATGGGGAGAAGACCGGAGAAAGTTCAGCGTAGTCATTCCTAAAGGTTACAACAATGTGATTCTGTCAGTCAGAACAGAAACAAGAACTTGCTGCCACAGTGATTGAAAAAAAAAAACAAGGTAACAAGGGAGTAGTAGAAGGTTGGAGGCAAACAGATAAAGAAATTCATTCATTCATTTAGTCGCATAGCTAACTTCCATTCTTTACTATCCTAGAAAGAGATCTACTAGATTCTGTTCTTGTAGAGATCTACTAGATTCTGTTCTTGTAGAGATCTACTAGATTCTGTTCTTGTAGAGATCTACTAGATTCTGTTCTTGTAGAGATCTACTAGATTCTGTTCTTGTAGAGATCTACTAGATTCTGTTCTTGATGGAGCTAAATGTTAAAGACTGAGAAAAAAAGGGTCTTGGATGGCACAAGCTTTGAATTACATTATACTGGTAGTGTACGAACTGGCTGCAGAATCAAAGTTCAGCTGCTGGTTCATAACTGTTCTTGCCCATGTGATGGGATTATCTATAGCGATGGCTCTGTGTTGAGTGTCAGAAGAAGTGCGAGAGGGTTCACAGCAGAAGTATGGAGTACATACTGTCAACACTATATGGCATAAGAAGCAGGGAGGATTATAAATGAGAATGTATGTGTTAAATGTGCAAAAGCTATTCCCAGATCACCCTCTGATTGCCTCATAAAAATAAACTGTTTGCTGTAGCGACACTATTCATTGCTTGCATCATTCAGTAGTCTTTAGTTCACAACACATTAACCTACAGTGGACAGTGTTATTGCCTTTCTCGCCAACTGTGAAATTTGTGGTGTGATTCAGGTTTTTTTTGTTAAAGCAGAAGGTCAAAATGCTACCGAGGTTCATTATCAGTTGTGTCTTTTTTATGGTGATAATATTATAAGTGACAGTATGAGAAGGAGCTTGGTGACCATGTTTTCTATGAAATCTTTAACAGACTGCATCATTTTACATATTGATATTTTTCCATACCACGGTGGATGGGCTGTAAATTGTCTATCTTCTTATGTTGTTTTCATGAAATGATTTTTTTTGAAATACTGCTAAGCATTACAATATCTTTCAAGTTACCATCTCACAGTAGGGTAAAAACAAAATTATAAGAAGAAATAAGCTTACAACTTACTGATTTTTAGCAAATTTAATTGGAAGAGAGCAGAGGGAGATAAATATCCAAGTGGCTTAGCCATATGGCTTAACTGGAACATCATCACAGACTTGATTTGAGACTTTGTTTGATCATGTGGAATGCCAAATTATGACTACCTATGCTTGCTACCTTATACATGATAATAATGATATCTGATTGTCTAGAATTCACAGCCATATGTTGAAACTGGAACATTTGTATATGATTACAGGACTTCATGGTAAAAGAAGGTCTTGCTTGGGTGGATGACTATGACAGATGTGAAAGCACATATTGGTTTCCAAGTCTTTTCCCGGATCTGTCACCCTGAATTTTGCAGAAGTGAATATTTGTTTCATACCATTAAGTTAATCATATCTGTTGTAGTAGAATAGTGCTTTGTTGTTATATCTTGGATTATAGTTCTAACGCTGAATATCGTGCTTGAAAAATTCCCTATGTCAGCTAATGAAAAACTAAGGCTGATTCTTCCAGAGGAGTGTGGGCATTTTTTTTTAATTGTACAAAATTCACCAGTGTTATATGGTCCAAAAAGGAAGAACAGAATAGTAACATTACCTACACAGGTCTGACTTTTCTGCTGGTACTCTGACCCACTCCACATCGCCCAGTGTTCTCCAGCATGCATACTTGTGACCTATATGTATCCAGACCAAGGACAGGCTTTGAAAATTCTCAAGTCCTGTATAGCATACTTGTGCATTTTAGAGTTTTAACCCACTATTATTAGAATTGTACTCCAATAGGGAAGCTGAAAAACAAAAGAAAAAGAAAAGTACTATAAAAGCCATAGCTTTGAGAAAACATAATTTACAAAGCTTTTCTGTTAACATATTGTACAAATTATGATTAGATGTTAATGTTAACAGTGATGGTATAATATTTCTTACATTATTAAATATAAATAAAGATCTTCATCTCTGCTTTATTGATTACACAAAAGCTTTTGATAGAGTAAGACATGTCGAGATTATAAAAATGCTTACAAATCTACATATTGATAGGTAAGACCTTAGACTGATTAAGAACATATACTGGAAACAACATGCTGCTATTAGAATCATGTAGAATTGTACCAACTAGTCAAGAAGTGTGCGACAGGGATGTGTCAAGTCTCCAGAATATGGTGAAAATATTATGCAACATCTGAAAGATATAAAGGGAATTAACATGGGAGGATGTAATATCAACAATACAACTTGTATAAGATATGTAGATGATAGGGTATTAATTGCAGACAGTGAAAATGATCTACAGTGTTTAATGGATGCACTGATAACTCATGGTGAGAAACTAGGTTTGGAATTAAATTGTAAGAAAATTGAAAATGTGGTCTGTACAGTAATAATTGTTAACCTGATCATGTATGTACTTATCTTTTTTGCTAATGTGTCTCTGTGTGTGTGTGTGTGTGTGTGTGTGTGTGTGTGTGTGCGTGAGAGAGAGAGAGAGAGAGAGAGAGAGAGAGAAAGAGAGAGAGAGAGAGAGAGAGAGAGAGCAAGCAAGCATACATTGTTTTAGGGTTATTTTGGAAAAATGAAATTTGAAACTACTGCTAACGAGAATACAAAGGGGCTTTTACATTATGTCCAACGAACGGCTGATTGAACCATGATTCAAAGGTGAATTCGATTGCATTCGTTTGTGTGGGCGCTACCTTAATCTTCGCCCTGTATCTTCTTTCTTTCTATTTCTTTTCTTTCGCTCCCTGCCTCAGTGCTGACTTTTTTTTTCTTACTATTTTTTTTTCCTCACTCCCCCCTCTGTAATGGTACAATCAGAAATGGGTCTGGTTCACGTTAGTCTCCCCTAATAGAGTAGGTCAATTTTCATTCACAAGTTTCTTGCGCTGGTCGACTTTCCTGAAGGTTATGGGTGTGTCCCGCTCTGTTGTTTGGTTTCTGTGATGTCTTGCATTTACGTTTTCATTTGGAGAAAGAGAATGCCCGTGACATAGGTTGCAGCACTTTCTAGGGGGAGTTGTGTTAGAGCCAGTTTCTCCAAGTTTTTGGAGTGTTAAAATCGCTGGCGTGCTGAGATATACAACACGCTGTATCTACCGCATTGCGGAACACCCCCGTAACCTTTGCTAAGGACACAGGGCTCAGGAACTACCAATCAGAAGTGAACTATTGTGTATATGGGCGGGGTCTGGGGAGACTAATGTTACTTTTACCCAGAAATGGAACAAGAGTCCACTAGTACATGAGCTGCTTTCTTAGCAGAATGACCTATTTTCATATTATATGTGACAGGTTAAGTTTGAGCTGCTTGTGTGACATACTGAGTTGGGAAACATAACAGAAATGGTTCTTTCTGGGAATCACACACTTCTTGTGGTTTGCACTGGGGAAAAATTGAGTGCTTTGGGAAACATGACCTTATCTGAATTTCCTAATTATATTTTTTGCGGTTATACCTGTTTGTTGATCTGCCCTCACCCCCTTTTTTTTTCTCTTCTGTTATATTCTGTATTATTGGCACCACTTGTCTGATAATGGGAGTCAAAGTGGTGTAGTGGCTAGATGCTTCCGTGCAGATCCAAAAGTCGTGGGTTCAGGTCCTGAAGGAGCTGGCCTTTTTATTTTTATTGTGAACAATTAATTTTTGTTTTCACAAAGGGTTATAAAATTAGCAGGCATGCCTGTCGGCTGTTCCAAACACCTGTCTTTTACACAGCAAATGTATTTTTGGGAGAGGGTGGGGGCTGGAAAAGTGACATCACTAAGATTTCCCAATTCTGTTTTGTTGCCCAGTGTTCTCTTCCCCCCCCCCCCATCCCGTTTTTTTTTCTTTTTTTGGTCTTTCATCATTCTACTACCCCTCTCTTCTCCTTTCTCCCTCCTTCTTCTCCCCTCTTTTTCTCTCAGTCAGTCGCCTTCCTCTCCCCTTCTCGCTGTTGCTTTGTCTGCCTGTCTTCATTTCTTCCAGAATCGGGCAAAATAGGTGCCGGAATCTGTTTTATTCCCCTCTTTGTTGCAATAACTTAGTTTCTGTAACTTTTAAAGCGGAATTACGGACAACTGGCTAAAAACTGTGTCTTTGAAACGGAAAGGTGGTGCCCTCTTTGAAGCCACTGATTCAACGATAACCAGCATCGTCGGAGGAGATGAAATGTCTCAGCAGACATCTGTGAGCCTGTGTCATCCAAGTGGGTCTGCTTCAGCTCCTGGAAAGGCAACTCACGAACAAACAAAAAAATCAGAGGAAAACTGAGAAAATATAACCCTAGCTACCGCACTTTGTTTGGCTTTGTTCCGGTTTGGAATGAAAAGGCACCACAAGGGCAATGCGTTTTATGTCATAAAATAGTTGCCAACGGCTGCTTGGTTCCATCGAAATTAAAAAGATATCTGGAAACTAGTACATACAAGTGAAAGAAAAAAAAATCTTCAAACGCCACGCTTTATCTCTCCCGGCATCGTCATCCATGATGGACAGAACTGCCAAAAAGGAAAAAGAAAACGCAACTGAAGCTTTATTTATTGTCAGTTTACACATTGCAAAAGCTGGAAAGCCCCATACTTTTGCCGAGACACTGATTACACTTTGTGTGAAGGATGTGGTAACTTGCATGGCCAGGCATGGCTAAGAAGATTGATAGCTGCACAGTCTTTAGTCCCCCTCTCCATGTCCCTTTTGATCAGCCTTTATTTCGGTGCCTTTCTTGTCGGCTCTGTGGCTGAGTCAATGCGAACGCTTTGTAATGCCGGGGTGCCGGGTTCGATCCCAGCTGCGGGCCATGCGCCTTGCGTTGGTTTCGACAGCGGTATCAGGGAGCCGACCGTCCAGTAGCAATGACAAACTACTGGACGTAAATTTGCCTAGAGAAACCACACAATAGCCAGGGGCTGCTGGGGTTGGTTCTGCAACGTCCTGTAAAGGATAGGCAACTAACCTTCTAGTTATATTGTATCAGGTTTCTCAGCATGTGTCCTAACCATCACCAGCATTTGTTGTTCACCTCTTGATTGACGTGCATTTTAGTTCTCTCCCAAAGCTCCAAATAAGTATTTCTACCCTACCATTTAATTCCCTTCTTTCTGCGCAGGCATACATTTATGAACGTTTGTAGTTTATTTCTAAATGTCGTAGTTTTCCATGTTTCCATTCCATACAGCAGTGATGATTTGACATTCGATTTTAAAAGTTCAGTATTAGTTTTAATTTCCTTTGATTCATAAATTTCCGAGTGTTATGAAAACTCTTCTTGCCTATTGAATTCACTTTTTAATATTTATTCTAGTTCCCCTGTTGTTATCTAATTTACTGCCCAAACAAGTGTTAAAGACTCATCATCTTGGAGTGGGATATTAACCAAGGAAAAAAAATAATTTTTTCCAGGTTTATTCTTGTTATCTTTTGTCTTTCCCTTGTGGATTGTAAGACCTAATTGATGTGACACTAATCAAATATGTTTAATTTATCTTGTAGCTTATTCTGTGAGTAGAAGTAGTAGTACATTTTACCCCACTAGGACATCACTCAAGCGATAAACACCCGTTGACACAAGTGCCACCATGTGGATGAGGATCACCCGTGGAGAGGTCCCGGAAACCACGTTCAGCCATAAGACCATATTTATGGCCGTGCTATATTGCGGCCCCTGGAAAACGCCAGGGTGGGGCTTCACAGTAACGGGGAAAAAATGCACCCCACAAGGAGATTACTAGTTTTTAACGCTATTCTGTGTGTTGGATAGACGAGAAATAAAAGCGAAGTCCAGGTTATCAAGCTGTTTTAGATTCAAATTATTGGTCGGAAACCCCTAGAAGGAAACTGACATTAAGTCAGACTAAAATCAATACACTTTCGAAAAAAGTTTTTTTTTAGATGAAAGAGAACTATTGAAAAATGTTAGTTTAGATGAAAGACAAACAGTGCTTGCTTTCTGTGAATATTTACAAGAAAAACTTTCAGACACTTTACTTCCCTATCCTTTCTCCCCAGAAGATCTAAAGAAAAAACCCTGGAACTCGTAACTTCTCAGACATTATGTAAATAAAGTTACTTACACTATAGAATAGAGATGGCAGTGTATGCATGTGTGTGAAATATAACTAACTATCAGCTAATACCGCCAGCACGCCAATATCAGCTGGTGTTGACGGCATGCAACGATTTGGTGATGATAACAAATTATCATCGTTTTCACTTTACACGTCCGAAGTACGATCTGATGTACTTTCTAGCACAGGTCTATTTACCTAAATTTGCTGGCAGGCCAAAATGTTGAACATGGAGATCGTCGCCAAGTCCACACTACAATTGACAACATTTTCAATCTGTAGATTTAATACACTCGAAAAC